TTTCGATGGAATGTCTAAATACTTCTCTCCTTCCGTAAAATGCTCAATGAGAAGTTTAAGCAAGGGGCACAGGGACAACGCAAACCTGCAAATACTGCCGTTAATACGACGAAGTATCAAGGTTTAAGCACTGGCGTTCACTTTACAGTACAGCGTATTGATTCGCGGTTCCCGATTTAAGGGAAGGGCGATTGAGTGGGGTTGTGGATGGGGGGGGGGGTGGATGGGGGGTGGATGGGGGTGGTGGATGGGGAGGGGGGGATGGGGAGGTGTGGATGGGGGTTGTGGATGGGGGGGTGTGGATGGGGGGGGGAGGGGTGTGGATGGGGGGGGAGGGGTGTGGATGGGGGGGGTTGTGGATGGGGGGGGGTGTGGATGGGGAGGGGGGGTTGTGGATGGGGGGGGTTGTGGATGGGGGGTTGTGGATGGGGGGGGGGTGTGGATGAGGGGGGTGTAGATGGGGGGGTGTGGTTGGGGGGGGTTATGGATGGGATGGTTGTGGATGGGATGTGGGGGGGGGGGTCAAAAGCCACTGCGTGCTAAGCACGGCCGCGTCGTGGCGCGCGCAGATGGAGGTGTCAGATTCCCGTCCGCCGCGGCTCTGGCTGGCGGGGCCGGACACGGGAGAGGCGCCGCGGCGGTGCCGCTGCCAGCGGCTCGGCAGCTCCGGCGCGTCCGGTCCACGGCTCCCGAGCGGCCCGGGGGAGGAATTCGTGGTGCGTGCGGGTGGCCTGGCACCGCACCGCGCACGCAATTGCGCAAATTACGCACTTTTATTGCCTCTTACGCTTCTTTAACCAGGATAGCCTCACCGAGTCTCTTGACTACTTTTCAGGAGGGCCCTGCCAAGTTTTTTTTTTTGCAGGGGGGGGAGGGGGGATAGGGTGCAATGATTGCTATATATATTCCAACTGAACAATTTACGGGTAGTTTTTTTAAAGATAAATTTGGACCATGACGCCGGTTTACTCAGGATATCCTCACGGGGTCTCGTTACCCTTTTCAGGATGGTCCAGCCAAGTTTTCACAGCAAGGTGGAATGATTGGGATATATTTTCCAAGGGAATAATGAGCGGGTACGTATTTTATCACTATGCATGTATGGCAAGTTTGGATCAACGCCGGCTTAGACTTGCGAATGATGTCAATGGCTCTTTAATGTCCAACTGCGTGAAGCAGACGGCGCGTATTTTTATTGTTACTGTCAGCACACCCAGCAGCTAGCACGCCAATGTACAATCTAAACGAGGACACGTTCATGCGTCCATTCATGCATTTGTCCCTGTAATAATTAAATAAATAAACATGTCGGCAATGACTCTAGAAAAAGTATGTTAAGTTGGGTTGGACTGCCTTTGTGTGTGTATGTATGCAAGGAAGAGCCCAGAAAAGGCAACGAACGTGCAGGGCAATTAAGGTCCAGAGTGTTTGCAAGCGCACGCGTATTGCACCCAATCAATCGGTGGGGTGATCAGTCTTCGTTAAGTCAGGGCAGAACATTGACAGAACGAGCATTTTTCTCTCTCTAAGAGGAAGGCCCTGGGTAGTAAAATGCCGTGCATTTAATGTGATTTATTATAGGACTCCTTACAATTGTGCTGAATGCCAAAAACTTCACAGCAGTCGCACAAGTCACAGCAGTCCACGGTAGCTAAATGATGCGCGACTAAATGGTTATATAATGCACATTTTTAAGATGCTATACTCGTTAATATCACACCTCTTGCTTTGGCTGTTTATGAACGTGCATAATTATTGTATTTTTATTTATAACCAAATATTTTGGAAAACCACTTTTTCAAAGCTAATGATCATTTTACAATTTCCGTTTTTTTAAATGAACATACATTGAGTGATAAATGAAATGATACGGTTTCCACGGAATTATTAAAAGGTTGGAGGGTAACTGAAACGGGAGTTATAATTATTCATTTGTATATCGTGAGCAAAGATGAAAGTCGCGGGGGTCTCTATACCAGGTGAGAAAATGCTTAGAAGGGAACGTCTGGCATTGCTGGTTTGACCTACGATGGCAATGGGGAGACAATACCGCCACCACTTATATTTGTCTTTAATTACCCGGGTCACTCCGCCAGGGTGAACTCCTCGTGTTTCACACTGAATGCATAAAATAACAAAACTAACCCCCCCCCCACCCTCTTACGTGCGTGGCCAGGAATTGAAATGCAGTCGTGTTGAGATTAGCGTTGAAACCTACATGTGCACACAGATTAGTGGAGGAAATGCTAATCATGATGAATAAATTATAAAACTAAACTATTTTTCAGATTTTTAACCACGTAAGGCTCAAAGCTATATAGCTCTTTTTCAGAAGCGACCTGGCCACAAATTATAGCTCAAAGCGAAGTGGCTTATCAAATCCATCTTTGTAAATGTGGAGGTAAAAACCGGAGGACCCGAAGCAAAATCCACCCGACCACGGGGAGAGAGATACGCAAACTTCAAAAAAACAGGCGTCGGGGTTGGCATCGAACCCACGACCTTCTGTATACCTTGCGAGGTCGTTAACACCTCACCACCGTTGTGCCCATAAGACACGCATACGCTCGACTCTCGAAAGATAATATTTTTTGTCACGTAGATAGATTTTCTACCTACGTGACTTTACCGAAAGAACCATAGAATATGAATGATTGCAGTCACGAAAGTTTTAAGTCAAAATCTCGAAAGAGAAAACAAACAACACATTGTACAATTGCCAGCAATAGGTATATCCAACAAATGCCACACGATACTAAACAATCCTCTTCCAAATGTGTAATGCCTTTTGATAAAATGAAAGCACGTGCATAACTTGCCGTGGTGTAATGGGCCTTAAAATCCAGAGGTCGCCGGCAGTTGTAACTTGTTGTAACAACAGGCACGTTTCTTAAGTCCCTCCACCCCCTGTACCACCCAGCAATATAAATGGGTACAATAGTATTCTTGGTTCTTTCGGTAAAGTGTTAGGTGGGTTGGCAGGTCCACGTGTGTCCGGATAAAGTGTGGATACTTCTACCTGTTCCAAGACGAATAGGCCAGCGTGTAAGAGTAGGCAAAACACCCTCTATAATTAAATATGAATAATCGCAAAATAAAAAGAAATATCGCACAGTACTTACAAGACTGTGGTGATCGTCGTCTGAGGAAGTAATCACTAGCTTTTGGGTCTCTCGTTTGCTCTGCTGTTATCGCTTTCACTTGATGGCCTCTTGCCAGACATCTTGACTTTTACTGAAGTGAGAACGTTGAAAAGGGGGCGATTGGGGGGGGGGGGGTTAAGTCCCAGGCGTGATCAACGCAAAGGACCGAACCCCAAAGCTCTCCGAGCTTGGACGCCACGAGGAGCGTCCCGAAACCATCGGAGTTGTCAAAAGGAGCGCGCGAAAACCACGTGGGGGCAGCAACATGAAATGCCCGCTCGGCCAAATGCCAGACCCCGTGTTCAATCCACGGAGTGGCGCTATTCCATTAAGCATTTACACTTCCACACCGAGTATGGTAAACTTCAGCCCAGTGAGCCTGGGGTGTAAAAAAAACACAAACGAGTGGCTTGTGATAATTATTTACGATGTCCATCCAGTTGGCTGCTGTAAATTTCCAGACGATGATAAGCCACTTTGCTGAGCTATCATTTGTGGCCAGGTCGCTTCTGAAAAATTGGCTAATCGTTCTGTGGACTTTACCGGGTAAAATGAAAGTGTAGTTTTATTTGTGTAATATGTTTCACTGATTTCCTTGCCTTTCCTATACTTTACACTCCTATCGTGTTTTTGTATTGTTCGCTGTAACGTTATCACTCGCCCCTACTGGATATCTGTGATAAAGAACTTAAGCGCTCCTCGGATTCCTCGAGTATAAATGCATTTTCTGATCACTTATGTTTCACTACGAGTCCTAAGATTTAGTGTCCGTTAAGTCCTGCCTTTGGTTGGGGTGGAGGGTGCGAGGTGGGCGGGTTGACGTCGTGTTCCCATTTTAAATGAATAGTTTAGGACTTTCTTTTGCTCACGTGGAGTGCGGAGAAACGACATGCCAGGGGGGAATGTCTGATGGGCATGACGAGAACATTACAACTTATAACATCGAAAACGTTCTGACAAAAATAACACCATTGTACACGATCCGTATTCATACCTATCACCCCCTTATAAGTGTCTATCTTAGTACATACCAATTCAGACCTTATTGGTCACCCCGTGCCCTTATAAATATCAACGTTCATCCTACAAAGTCCCACAACAAGCGAGAAACACAAACACATCGACAAAAAATGTTTTGCTCGTATTAAAATGCTTGTACGCCGTATGGATCTCAAACTTCAATTTTCCTGTACAATAATTCGGGTTAACCGTATGGGTTGGCAGGTATGCGTATTAAAGTGGTTATTTAAAAGGATGCTGGGGAGAAAATGTACAATAACATTATTTCCACAGTTATTCTACATCCCAAACTTGTGCAACTAAAGTGTAGCTATTCTAGAAATAACTACTCTGTTGGATCTATGTCAAGGAGGATGAAAACCAATATTTATGTTAACTTTTTTTGTTTATCCACAATAATTAGATAAACCAGCATTATTTTTGTAATAATTTCAAGGTCTTGATTTAATGCAACAATTAATTATTGAACACTGCTGAATGGCAATGCCTTTAGTGGCTACAGGAGTGGCGTGAACCGATTGCATGCAATGTGCAATTCTCTCGGGCTTGTTTTGAGCTGGTGGTCTGGACAAGGCTGACACATCATTATGCATGACGTGGTGATCATGTGACATGCATGCAATGCATAACGGGAGTTGTGCCGTCCTGCTGTTTATGAGCATATCTCTGTGTTGTTAAATTTGTCTGTTTCCAATTTCCACACACTTTCCTATTTTGCTTATGGCTATGGATTGAGTCAGCTGTTGTGATGCGTTTTTCATTCACAGAAAGTATTGGATTTGTACCTTTTGCAGCATCTGAAAGTCGTCCTCCATAGCATAATCCTCTTATCTGCAGGGACGAGTGAATAATGGACTGTCTCCAGCAACCAAGTTCATTGTCGCAAACAAATCTCCCCGAGTGAAAAGAACGTCGATGGAGCATTATGGGTAAAACAAATATTTGCATTCCAGACCAATAGACACGCACCAGATACTAGTTTAAATGTACAGTTTTTTAATTCAGAAACATCCAAAATGAGATGCATGACAGGCAATTAACAAATATTAGTACAACTTTAATCATTTTGGGAAAACATAAAAACTAACGTTTAAGTAAAACAAAGGTGGGATAAAGCAGCAGGAAGTAATCTGGAAGCATATGAACTCAAGGCTGACTTGAAATGATGCTGCATGCAGACCCCAGGGGGTGGGAGGCTTGTATTGATTTTGTATTTCACGCCCATTAATTAGGGAATTAGAAAATAAAAGTTGTTAACCAAACATAATTTCCCAAGCGAATGCCCCCCAAAGATATTGCCTGTGCCTATGTTATACTGTACATAATAAATTAATTTAGTAAAAATGTACTAACATTTACAATAAATGTATAACAAATACGACAATTTTTGATTTAAAGCTTTCGTGACTGCAGTAATTCATATTCTTAGTTTTTTCGGTAAAGTCACGTTGAAGAGAAACAACAAAATAATAAAATATATATATAAAACAATAAAAAAAATTCTCACGACGTGTCGACCATAACTCAAACGGTCATCTTCAGGTGTGTCGAAACGTCGTGAGAATTTTTTATTGTTTTATATATATTTTATTATTTTGTTGTTTCTCTTCAACGTGACTTTACCGAAAAAACTAAGAATATGAAATACGACAATGTTAAAGTAACAACTGATTGTGCACTCCTTAACATTATCAGCAGCCATGGAGAGATGAGATCATCCATCCCGTGTGCAGGAGCTAGATAAGTAATTGCATCGTGAGACTGTGAGGAATGGCAACGCTTGGAGAGGCCTTCATCCGGATCATGGCTCATACTTATGGTGATATGTATTGCATTAATGTCCTGAATTTCGTGGCTAAACAAACACGGTAATAATATAGTTCCCAGCATGGCTCAATTCATGCAAATTTATTAAATACTGCTTCACTTGCCACGCATTTTAGCATTACAAGCAGGTATGTATGTATGGTCGTTATCTGTCAGCAAACAGGCAGGCGGCTTTTACGTGGAGCTGTAGCTCCCCCACACGACACTGAATGTAATCGTCATTTCCGCACCCCTCGTGAAAGTGCGTTTAGCCGTCGAACTAAACCGTTGATGTTTCAAGCACTTAAATTAAATAGGGTGCACAAAATGTGAGCCAACATATGTTAACGCATACGCCCAGCATATCATTTAAGTTGCACGCATTCGCTAAATGAACGTTCTTGCCCATGTTTATGCCGCCAGTCTTCCATCCCGTGTAATCATCGCATGTCATCTTCCTCCATTATTTGCCTGGTTTCTGAAAATACAAGCTGATTATGTGTAATTTGTAATTAGCCGACCGCAGATATAAAGTGAGAGAGCATTGTTGGGGAGCCGACATCTATGTGTAAGAAATCATAAATTGAAATTAATCGTTTTAGAGTAATATATTTTAATGCTCATGATACATGTATTGGATCATGCATGTAAGACTCGATTATTTTCAATGTATGTTAATCTGATGGTAATGCTTGCAAGCGCGCACGTATTGCCCCCAATGAATTGGTGGAGAACACAAATCGGAGTCGTATGGACAATACAGTATACACGATATGGAAGGGACAGAATCATACGGGAAAGGCTGAGAGCACGGATGAGGCGTGCCTATAATCCAACACTGTGAAGGCGAGAGGGTTGGTGGGTCGCACAACTGTTGCGAAACTCCCCTTCTCCATGGGCGTCGGTGCAATGCCCTGGGCATCGCCATTCGTCTCCATCTGTGCGGGGATGAGCGTGTTGCCTCCTCGTGCACGCGGTGGGTTTTCTCCGGCTGCTACGGTTTCCTCGCACACGTGTTAACACAAGCAACACCACCCAATGCTCCTAGGAACCCTCCCAACAAAGAGACCTACGACTCCAGTGTGGCTGTCCTGGGAAATAAGCAAGACTAATTGTGAGTGTTCTTTTATTATTGCATGTTGTAGCATGAACTCAATTGCAATCATATGTTAGTGGTCCTGAGATCGGTGTTGGAAATTGCACATCCCATAGGGTTACCACTGTCGATGTGCACAGTGGTAGCTATTTTATGAGCCCCGGCGAAATTATAGTCCGAGGTGCCGCCGTCTGGTAGTCTACCTTTTGATTGCAATTCAAGTGCTCGAATGACAATTCCTCCCCGGCCAGGCTACATTACATTTATTTGTAACCACACAGGACAGTCAAGTATATCACTCAGAATTTGTTACGGCAAGCACATACAACCCCCCTCCCTCCCCTAAGAATGTGAAATATAATCCCTTAAAATAAAACATTATCGCAGGTTTGACGAATTGTACACAGCACATCTGAGAGCTCTGTACCATAACCAAGCTCTTCTAAATAGGATCTTCGACGAGTAAAATTGCCCTCGTGTGTGAACCTACCTTCATTTAGTCTTTTGGGAGTCTTCAGGTCTGATGATTAATGGGAACTGGAGATGACCAATAATGATTTCCTCGCTGCGGCACGTGAAATATCGAGAGAGTCATAGATTAATTGCGTAAAAAAGGCGCAAAGTGGCGATTCTCGAGAAAGACAGAAATATTTATCGATGACGCATTTTGTGCTCATATTGCAAGGGAATGTTTGAAAATATGAACAATTCTGAGTGTAGAAGAGTGATCGATGTCTGTGCTGCAAAAAAAAAACAAAGGCATTGTACGACGTCAAAGTGCGGTGCTCCAATTTCCGAACGTAATCACGCTACTGCCAAGCTGGTAATACCATTACTCGAGTGCCTATCCCTCTCTTGTTAATGCATCGACTGTTATATTCACCCTGAAATCTGTCATTGGTATTGTTTTTACACATCCAAGTGTCTCAGGACAAAGTGTTGTTGCTACAGGTCAACGCGAGGATATGTACGATACATGCTGCTGTTAATCCAATGCACAACAGCAGCCTGGGAGGTGGTCTCCCTATTGCTCAACCTCACGCTATCAAACTTTGATCTCTTCCTCAACCCAAGAGACAAGCCCTCTGCGGACATTTTCACTATCAAATGACCTTCAGAGGACCGTCCTGGGCTCTCAGGCAGTGTACAGTATCATTGCCAGCTATACACAGATTTGTTTGCAATCGTATACAGTAAAAGCAGAACTCTGTTGTGAATCTTCAGATAGGTATATAAACAAAAATAGTTCATGTGACTTTCCAGACCAATATTGTCAAGTGGCATATTTTTTTATTGAGCAAGGAAACGCTGGGCTTGTTTTGACGTTCTGCGTCTCATCAGCAGAGGAAACATGCTGCTCTATTGCTAGGTGTTATTTGCAAGAGCACTGAATGTAAAACTATAGGTACCCATTCAGCCCAAAAAGCAATACCATACCCAACCTCATTCTGCGTTGCTGTGGAGCATTATAGCCATTATAGCAAGTATATTAGTGTTAGCAGTAGAATCGGTTCCCTTCAAGCCAATGACACCAAGACTAATATTTGGCATATCCTTTGTTTTCAGGGAGAATTAAAAAGAAATAAAAAAAATCACAGTCAAAGGTGTTACAACGGACACACATTCTCGCCTTGAAGTTTATCGTTCATTGAGTTTCATGTTTTCTTTGGCAAGGGAGAGATGTCAATTTTCCAACATTTGCTGTGTCAAATGACGGCACAGAAATAAATGGCTTGTCCAGGCAGTGACCCGATGTCTCTATGGGAACGATTACGACAAGAAATTGCACAAAAGTGGTACCCGGTGGGGTGGGGGTGCGGGGAATGTGCTTCACTGCTTGTTTTTTCAAGTCGTATTACAAGGATGGCTCCTGCACTTCCATCACTCCCGTATGAGTATACTTAAGGCGTGACTTGTTCTTGCTAATCAATCGTATTATTAATGAATAATGACAAAGCTGTGTTTATTGGATGTGCAGCAGATGCGTCCACTGGGTGTGCTTTCTTGTTCACTTGAATGTGGGCAGTCAACCGAGGTACCAATCTATAAGGTTACGCCATAAACTGCAAGTAAACTGTAAGCTGTGGTTTTTGATGGCGTGCAATGACTATAAAGTGCATATACACATTCTTAATTGCCGTGTCTACAAAGACGCTGGAAATTTACAGTGCTGTGGTTGGTTCTGCGCAATGGCTTTTAATAAATGATGAGAAACGTCTTTCAGCGTTGAGATTATTCATATCGCCAAAGCTACAACCATGAAAAAAAGCGTTAGTTTAAATATAAGGTAGTTTAGTTGAACACTAGGTTGCTGCTTGGGAACAGACGGTGTGTATATTTATCAAAACTCAGAAACAAATTATATGCATCCATGTCAAGTGGCCAAATAACTGAGAAAGTCCACGAGTTCATCATTTGAAGAAAACATCTTTTATAGTTTGATATTACGACAATATTCAACACAGGCCAATGCCCGCTATTATGAACTTCATTGCTTATCTCAAGAATATGCATTTTCTTTGTAATTTTTTTGGCACATTCTACCAGTGTGACTGTCCCTTATCGAACTGGATTTGCATGACAAAGGCTTGGAAAGGATTCGATAAGCCACGGGTGACAAGTCGCCTGCATTTTGCTACAGTCAAACAGGGAAGAAAAGCACTGTGGCCCTACTTCAAAGATCATACATATTTAAATGCAGTACGTATTCAACAGTTTATTTTCGATATATGTTGCCTTGAAGTTCAGTATCATAAGAATTAGCCATGATCAAGCCACTGTTAAATGAAGCCCCTCCCAAGCCACCACGATCCATCGGTCTCGAAAATCAACAATAATAAATCTAGCTCCTACACACCAGCTGTTTTCATTGCTCCAATGGAAGTCCTATCAGACATATTCCATACTTCCTATTGGCTACCATTCCCTCATTGGTCTCGACCATCTTTCTTTCTCGTGATGTTTCCTGTCCAAGACCACGTACTGTTCTTAACGGTCAATATTTACATCTCTAAATTGTGTTTGTTC